GCATATTTGACAGCACTGTGTGGTGTGTCAGTGTTGCTAGTGCGCATTAGCACTTCCCCTCCCAGAGTGGCAAGATGATGCCTCCTGGGAGGAGGGGGTGCAGAAAGGTCAGAGAGGGGAGGGAATGCTTTCATCCCAGGCCTTGTATTAACAGCAGCAGCAAAAGTGAGTGGAGAAGCAACAAGAGAGTTTCTGTACATTGCACAAGATGCCATTGTGCTTCTTGCACTAAATTGTTTTCTAACATGCTTGGGAAAAAAGGAACTCTCCCTCCCCCCATCTTACTTCCTTCTCCAGACGTGATTTTTACAGTGTCCTGCTCACCACTATTTAAAGACAAATCTATGCAAAATTCACATTGTCTGAGAGAGGCCAGTTTGGAAGCATTCAAAGTTGTCCTCATCTCTTTAAATGGAATATTGTTCTTACCCTTGTAAGTGCCTAAGCTTTCCCTGGAGGACTCTGCATCCAACCTGGGAAAAAGAAGGGACAGTTCCTCCTTCTTGGCGTTTAAAATGACTGGCACTGTCCAGAGAACCATCTGCTGCTTCCATCTCTGCCAGCTTCCCCTAAAATGTGCTGAGCTGCCTCAACCCACAATTGTGGGAGCAGTTGGGAGACCTTTTGCTGAGCAGTGAATAATATCCCCCTTCTGGTTTGGTGCTGTTTGGACTCCGGCAGGCATTGATTTGCTCCCAGAATTCTAAGAACAGCCCAGACTGCTGTGTCCTGCCGAGAAACTGAGGAGGGAAGAGAAATGGGAGACCGAGCTCGCCATCTCCTGGAGAAAAAGAGTTTGCGCTTTCAGGAATGTTTCTTTGTTGTGGCATCCTTTGGTTCTCACTCTTTCGGTCACACCTGCCCAACGTGTTGGCGGGAGATGGTCAGGTGCTGTTCCGAGCCGGGCCAGCAGTACCAGTTTAGAAGGCTGGAAATACTCAGCTAGAGTGGTTAATTTATCAAATTCTCTCAGTGTCATTTAGGCTTGAGTGTTTAGTGAACTAGGAGGACTGTAAATCTAGGCTCATTTCCTTGTTCTCTGTTAAGTTTAACCTGGTTATTCGGAAAAGGTTCTTTCCCCAGGGGGTTGCTGGGCACTGAACAGGCTCCCCAGGGAAGTGGTCACAGCACCAGCCTGACAGAGTTGAAGGAGTGTTTGGACAATGCTGTCAAGCACATAGTGGGATTGTTGGAGCTGTCCTGTGCAGGGTCAGAAGTTGGACTCCATGACCCTTGTGGGTCACTTCCAACTTGGGATATTCTGTGATTCTTTCTTTCCTAAAGGCCAATGTTACAGAAAGCTTAGGAAGCTTGTGAGCTTGCAGTGCCAGCTCTGACCCTGTCGTTGTCCCTCTTCCTGTGATCCTCAGTAAAATACACCGGAGAATTGTCACAGGGTGGGTGTGCTGTACTGGTATTTTTGTTATGTATTTCATGGGTACTATAGCAGCAGCATTGTCAGTGGCAAGACTCATAGGCACTTATAAGTCCAGAAAAGAGGTTTATAAAGCATCAAGCAGCAAGTTTGGTTCTTATGTGCTTAAAAGGGCAAGGGGTGTTTTGCCACTGATCCTTACAAGGAGGCTTCTAATGGATACCTATGATTTTTTGAGTGTAACTGAAAAACTCAAGACCTTTAGCACACTGTCATCAGCCTTGCTATAAATGTGTCCCTGCTGTAGGTTGTGAGGTTTAATTCACTGGTGATGGTAGTGCAGCTGCCTTCAAGCAGGGGCCAGATGAATGTGAGTCATGAGAGCAGATGGAAACGCTGGGCAGGATGAGCACATATTTGATGGTGGGTAAGCCAAGGTCTTGCATTGTAATGATACAGGGCTGTGTTGGTGCAGTGATACTGGAGACTAAATTACATAATGCTAACCAAGTTATATCTTGGAGAAGTCAGTTAGAAAGGCAAGCCCAAGTGTCACAAGCATTATTAATCTCCTACATAAAAACCAGAGCAAAAAATCAGCAACTACTTGCACAACATTTGTGCAGACAGGGAGAAAAATACATGACAGTTTGTGTAATTACTGTGCCATGGACTAAAGTTTCTAACTAAGGGGTCAAAATGTTAGTAAAGGGTCTTGGGAGGTGGCATTCCTCAAATTCAAGTGCTGCCACTCTACAGCCTAGTGAGATTAATCTTTTAAGGGTATATAAAAAAGAGTGGTAAATGTATTAAACTGCTACTTTTGTAGGGATTATTATGACTCAGAATAACCATAGTTATAAAGCAGCTGACAAAATTACACCACTAGCTATGTTGTTCCTAGTACCAAAAACTGAGATTAAGCTGGACTGTTGTGGTTTTTAAGATGTTCATTTAACAAGAGAACTATCCCAGACTGGTCTCTTGATCCCAAAATGCCTTCTTCAATTCTGATCTGGCAGGTGGCCCCATCTATATTGTTAAAGAAATTTTATAATATCCAGTGAAAATTAAACAGCAAAAAATTAGAAACTATCATTTTAAACTTAGGTCAAAAACAATTCTAAACCAGATTACTAGTAACAAAATAACTTGTTTGATATGAAACAGTAGGACCTCAGTTATAAACAAAGCAAAAACTTTGTATACATGTTCGTTTCAGAAAAGCTTGAATATATAAATTTCATGTATTAAACTCAGAACTTAAATATAGAGTAATTATTAGATCTTTACCAAACCATCATGAGTCTTAGAAAGTCTTCTAGTGTTTTAAACCAATGTTTGAAGATCAGTAATTGAAGAAGAAGCTAGGAACCTTAAAGGTATTTACTTTCTAAGCTTTTCTTGCTCTCAATCACATCTACACAATTTTTAGTCTGAACACCCTGAAGTGCACATTTTCTTGCAATAGAAGGTAGCATTGTTTGTATTGTTTTGAATAATACAAAGTAGGCTTTAATGTTTGTAATTCTTTTTCAACACTTTGACAGTCAGATTCAACACAATGTCTGATTGTGAAATTACAATTTGAATTTAACTTGCATACTGTGTTTTATAAATAAATTTATCACTGTTTTGCTTACTGTAACTGAATTAGCACCATTACCAAGTGTACATGTAGAAAATGAATTTTCTATTCCTCAAATACTCGAATGAGGATGGAGCTTTTAAGCTCCACTTCACAATGAAGGTTTGTGGTTTCCTGGCAGGAGTTCATTCAGGTAATTCACGTACTATGACAGTTTATTCTTTAGTAATGTCCTTGGACAATCCTCCAGGAACACTTGTGGTGATGACCCCATTCAAGGGAGATGCAAACTGTTAAGTGAAGAATGCCCACTGCAATTCTGAAAGGCACAGAATATAGAGTTTACAAGGCTTAGTCATCAAAAGTGGAGAGGGATTTTACTGCTTAAGTAGGACGGACAAATGGAAAGACAAGAAAGAAGTAAGCAAAAGAGGACAGTGTTGGCACAGTAACAATCTGGTACCAGAGAAGAGATGAATACATCATCTCCTAGGCTAGCCCTACCAAATAGCAGCAATATGTGGAGGGAGGGTGAAAATCTAACTCATTTTAAGAGAGCAATAATTTTATGAAAAAGATCACATATGGTTGCCTGCAGTAGCAGGCAATTTATTCTTCTTGTGTAGCAGTCTCCATAAAAAGGACTTTAATGTGAAGTTCTCCTGCTGTCGCGGTAATGACAGTCCTACTCAGCCTCCTTTGTTTTATGTACCTTTTTCTGAGCAGTCTCAGCTCTTCTGGCTAAGGAGATAAGAGCTCACAATAAAATACCTAACAATTTAGGCAAAGATTTGAAGGCAAGCTCTTACACCATCCTAAATACTGAGCTAGAAAATACCAGTGTCTTCTTGCAGAATGACTTGACATCTACCCCTTGAAGTCACCAGATATTTGGCATGTCTCTAGTCGAGTGGGTACATTCCTTTTTGTTAAGACTCCCCAAGCAACTTTTAGCCACCTGCAGAAAGCTCCACTCCGCCACCAGAAAAGCATTTTCTTCCTTTTCTTTAAAACTATTCTATAGTTGTGTAATTGTTTTACACAACTATCAGTTCTTCATTGCATTGGACCCTACATTTTGACTATAACTTCAGTGTTTACCTCAAGGATTTCCTCTATGTTTTGACTTCCTCAGCTCCTCTAACATTACAGTACTTCATCCTGAATTATTTACCTCTTCAGTGATTCTTACCATATAAAACATATTTGGGTTTTTTTTTGTTTTTTTTTTTTTTTTTTTTTTTTTTTAAGGCTAGGCTGCAAAGGCAACAAAATTACCTCAAACTGAAGTACTGTTAGAGATGTTTTTCACAGCTTGACTCTTACAGAACATACTCTTAAATATCCATCTCCTCCATTGAGATGTCCCTATTATACACGAAATGTACCAGTTTGCCTTGATACCATACTAAGCATTATAATCTTTGCTTAAGACATTAACAAGGGACTTGCCACACAGTTCATCTTGATGCATGAGTTGCATTTCACCTTTATCTTCTAAAGGCACAGCCTTCACTTACACTTTTACTCTAGCCTGCACTTTGGGGGGATGTGCAGAATTAATTAACAAAGTTCTTGTAGTTTATGTACACTTCTTGAATGATTTCGTGTTTCCAAACACGTTTTGTGTCTTGAAGGAGAGCCCAGTGTTGTAGGAAAGACTGGATTTTGCCATAAACACATTTGGATACAGACTTCTATAGAAGCTCATCAGAAAGAAGAAACTGAATGTTGTTGATTTTCTGCACTGAACTCCTCCACACTCACAATGCATACATATTTATAAACTTCTAGGTCAGGGTAATCCTCTAATATTGTACGGAGGTGATGCCCATGGAAAGAGGTGCCCTGAAACTTTATTACAATGAAGAGAAGGAAGTTTCAAACATGAATCAATTTGAATAGGAAACAAAAGATCCTTCTTCAGCAACAAACACAAACATCCATTAAATCAGCCTAGAAACTGCACCATCACAAAGAGGCTGAGGTAACCCAGGACAACATCTCTTCCAGACTGAAAAGGATTCACAAAATCAATTAGCAGTTCATTCTTTAATTAAATGAAAATTTACACAAACAACAGAACACTTTGAAGAAGTATAGGCACATATTGCCACAGAGGGGTTTCCTACAGCACAGAAAACAGCCTTCAATTCTTTATTCTCCCAGCCTGGTTTTTGCAGCAAAGACAAAGCCCAGAGTCCAATAAACCCCACACATGAATTACCTGAACTCCTTTTTTTCTTTACAAACAGAAGGAGTCTGGTTTTTGCAGCAAAGACAAATGCAAAGTCCAGAGTCCAATAAACCCCAGACATGAATTACCTGAACTCCTTTTTTTCTTTACAAACAGAAGGAGGAAATTAGTTCCTTCTAAAGATGTTCAGAACAGTCATTTTGCAAATGGTGCTGTGAAGCTGATCAGAAGGGAATGTGTTGTAACATAACTGCCCTATTTCAGTGCATCATCCTGTAATAACAATCTGCAGCATAGCTGTGCTTCACTGAGAGGGAGAGAGTGCTACATCCAGCAGGCACCTCAGTACATGCACATCCCAGAGAGAAGCACCCTCCCTTTGTTGGAAGGCAGCCCATTACCCAGCTTGAGGCTTTCAGATTCTCATTTCAGGACAGAGATAGAACTTGCTTCATTGGCTGCAGCTATTTGCTGTTTCCAGTTATGACCCTTGTGATTAAGCCAGGCTCTCAGCCCTCAAATCCTCTTCTGAAATAGTGAACAGCTTTTGTTCAACAACACAATAGGAAACAATTTTTTGGCTTCCATCCAAATGAGTATTTGAGTGTTAGCCTTTCAAAAGCTATCTCATTAATTCAAGAAAGAAATCTCTTTAGTTTTGTTTTGCTGAAATAGACAACGTGTTACACTAGGCTGCAACTTCTGACAGCCGTAGGTAGAGAATACTTCCCTTCCTTGCTGCTAGAATCCATGCCCTTGAGCATTCATTTGTTTGCAACAGCAGAAAGTTGGTCCCGAATCCTTCCCAGACCTTCTAACATAGTGTCCAGGGTTTCTTTGCTCAGTTCCACAGTCAGTGCAGAAACAACAGGATTATTTCCACATAAGGCAGCATCTTCCTGAATCTTAAAATAGGAATGGAGATGTTAGTTGTATGAAGAATTAATTTATGTGTTTTTCAGAGCCACTACAAAAGTCAGTGTTTAATACATAGATTAAACAAAATGGCCTGAATTTGAAATCCAGCTCCATCCTGAAGAACCATGGCACATTTTCTAAGCCGTGTGCCTCATTAGAGAAGTGCACTCCCACTGAGAGAGTGCAAGTGAGCATCTACTGCCATGAGTGCTGGGATATTTTGAAGATAGTTGTGGCAGGAAGCCACATTTGTATCAAAAGCATCTCAGCAGATACCACAGAGATACCACATTAACCCCACCCCACATACAGAAATTAGATTTTAATTCCTCCTCTGAATCTCACTCATCTGCTTTTTATTGGTTGGGGGAATCCAAAACTCTGAGAACACAAGCAGTAAGTTAGGTATACTCCCCAAATGATATATGTGGCTAGTGAAGGAAGTTATTAATAATCTCAAGTCATTTCCCAACTAATGAAGTCAGCTAAACATGTTGATGGAGTGCTTAGAATTAAAGGATGATGGCTTCGTGATTTATCTTCTTTTTTTCTGTAGAACACAATGGTGACTAGGAACAAACATGGTGACTTCTCACATCCTCATGCACACAAAACTTCTGTGCAAGACAGCTTTCATCAGAGACAACATTCCCATCCTCTGTGGCATTTCAGGTATCATCTCTGAGAAAGTCTAATGGCCCACCAGGCACAAGATGCGTCTCTGAACTGGTTTTCCCTGGCAAGTCAGGTGTTTGACTTTGTTATTTCGGCCCTTCACAGCCACTGCCATTACCTTTAACTGCAGCAGGCAGGTAGGGACTGCCATTCTTACAATGCTGTCCGAAGATGTCTTGATGTCCACCCTCCAGTCCATGTCCACCAGCCGAGGCAGGGAGACTGGGGGATTACAAAATGGCTCTGTTAGGCTCAGCAGCACATGATGACACCAGACCCTGCAAGCTACCACCATGTGCTACCTGTGCTACCACCATGCACAGGCCTCTCCACTTCCGCCCCTGGGAAGTGTACAAGTTTAGTTCCCACTACATGGTTTCCCATCATTTTACTCTGGAAAAAGCCAGTCTCTGAAGACCTCCTCATAACAGTGGAAGGGCAAAAAGGGTTCTCCCATCATTACTTGCAATGACAGTTCAGTGCAAGAAGCAGAGGTAAATTCCCAAAGCAGCTGGGAGAATGAGAGCAGTAAGATGTCTTCTTCACATCTTTATGCCCTGCCTTGCTGCGTGCTACATTCAATTAGTGTTTCATTCTGAGTTGCTCTGGCACCTGCATGCTTATTGCTCTGCTCTGAAACTGGTACAAAAACACTCAGGAAAGCTCGTAAAATCTAGCAGCATAAAACATGTTATTTCAAGTTCCCCAACCAAAGCATCCTACAGTACAGCAAGCATACTGACAAAGTGCAATCTTCACATTCCTTAAAAACGTTTCAATTATCATCCTAATTACATGCAGCCTAGCAGAAACAATTTAACAGGTGCAATACTGACATCAATAGCTCAGAGCTGGAGACCTCTTGGGCCCACCCAAGGAAAGAAAGACTGGTCTAACTTGGCTGCTAAGGAAAGAGCTGTCTCAGCAGGCAATTGCAGCCTGTCTGGATTCTGCCTATTGTAAGACGCTTAGTGTCTTCCCCAGGGGTTGACTGCCAGCCTTCCTACTGACTACAGACACTCAAGTCCTTTCCTCTCTGTGCTTTATTGTCTGATTTTTTTTCTGTCTGGGGAAAGGCTCTCTCTCCCTGCTCCTTCTGCTTCCTTGTGCAGAGCTCCAGGGGGCAGTGCACAACTGGCTGCCTTGCTCCTGCTTTTGGAACAAATTCCAGTACACAGTGTGTCAGGGCTAGCACTTGGCAGCGTTTGCGACAACACAAAATACATCTGTTAAGCACTGTATGTTAATTTGCAAAGATTGATTGCTGGTGGCTTGGGAGGAGCAGGAAACCATTCACTTTTTTACGTTAACACAGATCAATCTGTTGAAATGTCCTCCTTGGACCACTGCCTTGGTCCCTATGTAATGCATGTCAGATACTTCATAAATACAATACTAAGATAATCCATTATTTCCTAGCAGACAATCTCATTCCTGAGATTACTACTTACTCTGACTGGCTTGTGCTTCATTCCTCCAAGCAGAGCTGTGAAAAAGTGAAGAAAACAGTATCAACAGTGCTTTGAGGAGAAAAAAAAAAAAAAAGAGGTAAGCATTCAGCATGGCTTAGCCCCACCTGAAGGGTCACCAGCAGTAAGGAGACAGAGACTGCCTATATTACTGAGTGCCATGGAAAGGCTGGCACTGGTGGGTAATGGCAGGCAAACTGGCGACCACCCATGGGTTATTCTGGAAGGGCAGCTTGTTTAAAGCTTGTTAAACCTTCCTCCCTGGTTTTATCAAAGCTATGGGCTCCAAGCATTGAGATGTACAAGCAGAAGTGCCCTCCTCTGCCACCACCTCATGTATGCTCTATCACATACAGTGCCTCTGCACCTAAGCCGTGGTGACAAGTGGATGGATATCTGGATACTACCTAGATCTTCTAGAGCTGAAATCCAGCCTTCTAAGTTTTATCATCAACAGTAACATTTTTTCACCGCACAGCTGTTAAGATAAAAGGGGCTTTGCATGTTGGGTATGTGGCCCATGTCAGTTTCAAAAGTCATGGGAAAACTCTGTGTGCCCACATGGCTGTGTTTTGTTGGCCATTCCACTCAGATGACATATTCTGCTCAACTCTGCTCATCCCAGCCTGTGTGATTATGCCCAAGGCACACAAACTTTACAGAAACAAGAATCATGTTGCCAACTATCCATGTATCAACCACACACACAAGCCTTAATTCTCCAGCTGAAAGCAAATGGGAGGCAGATAGCACTTACATATTCTCCAAGATTATCTTAGTCAAGAGGTTTTTCAGGTTTTGGTGGAAGTTTTCTGGGAAGAGACAGAGGATGTCTTCTGCCCTGGTCAAGCCGCGGTACACCACGTGCCTGGTGAGGTTGTGCAAAGCAGACACCAGCTGTCAGGAGGCAAGAGCAGGGCTGGGTTGAAAAGCATTACATACAGCACAGGACGGGCCTTCTTAGCCAGGGGACAGAGCTTATGCTGCGGGGCCCACACCACCAGGGCCTTGGGCATCCAAGTACGGCCCGACAGCCTGAGCACGATGGGGCTCAGCTCCTCAGCGTCCCCGGTTCGCAGCCTCAGCCCGTTCCCTTCTGCCGCGGGCGAGGGCCGCTGTTACCGCTCACGTCTCGTTTCCCGCATCTTCCCGAGGGCCTGGGCCACCCCCGTGCTGGCACCGGCACAGTCCCGCTCGTTCCCTCCCGCCGGGGCCCGCGGCTGCTCCGCCCGGCCCTACCTGCTCCGCTTCCTCGGCGCTGACGGCGAGCCCGGGGCCGGCGCGCTGCGCCAGCGGGCCGAGCGCGGCGGGCGGGCTAGAGAAGCACTCCTGGCACAGCTGCCGCACAGCGTCCTTCGACGGCGCCTGGCGGGGAGCAAAGCGGGGGCGCTCAGCCGCGGCCCGGCGGCGGCGGCCCCGGCCCCCGCGGCCCGGCCCCGCTCACCTTCAGCAGGATCTGCAACGCCGCGAAGTCCACATCCCGCAGCGCCGCCATCTTGGCGCCGTCACAGCGGCCGCGCTCCGCCCGCCGCCATCACGCGCCCGTCACCGGGGCGGGGCCGGGGACAGGGACAGGGGCCGGGACTGGGACCGGGATAGGGACAGGGACACGGACAGGGATAGGGACACGGACAGGGAAGCTCTCGGTGTGTGGCACTGCCCCTGCCGCCCCAGTCGGGGCGTTTTCTACTCTCTGTGCAAAACTCTGCCTTGGAATTGTCCTGTAAACGCTCTGCTTTCAGCCAGCGGGAACGGGAGGTGAAGGGTTTATCATGGCACTGTGATAGAGATACGGACCCTTACCTTTGCAAGCTGTGTCTTACACTTTTTAAGGGATTTAAATAAGTCCTCTTTCTGAGAGATAACGTCTTCTCTTTGCCTTGTGTGGCTTCCAGCACATCTGGATCCAGGGCATCACTAATCTGTGGTCTTTCCCTATCACTGCCTCTGTCATGTCCCCATCCTCATTTTCATCTCTGTTGGTTCGTAAGCAGAATATTGCACAGTGAGAAATGCAAACATGTAAATGCTTCTTCTACTGGGCTTCACAAGCCTGGCAGGGAACAGGGTTTACTCTTGTAGAGGAACAGAGTCCATACTACACACTAGGACAGAACAGAAAGTGAAGAGAAGGATGGTGTAATATTAATTTTTGATTTCCAAAATGAAAGGTTTGCAGCTAGTGGGTTAAACAATAGCACCCCAGTGGGAGAAAGCATGGGGTAGTGGTTAGAGGTCAGGGTTCAAGAGCTAGGAAGCCAGAATCACATTCTCTTGACCCTGCTTCAGTCTTTAGATGAATCAAGGTAGGTCAGTTCTGTCAGGAGTGCCAGGAAGGTAATGGCGCTCTCTGTATAACACATAACATCCTGCAGTAAGTGTGGGCATTTTTTAACATTAGCAGTAAGCGTGGAGGTTGTGAAAGGATAAACAGAAAGAAGACACTGGGAAAAAAACAACACTGTGTTGTTACAATCTGAGGAAGTATGCCTAAAGGAAACAGGGATTGTTCACAGGATATACTTGTCCTTGCATCGTTGACCTCTTATAATCCGCCTGCTTGTCTTGCTCCCAAACCAATAAGGCTAACTTTTTCTAAGAGGTAAGCAGAATTTTTCTAAGCAGTACCACTTCTGAAATGCCATCTCTAACTGGGGGAGAGGGACACTTACATTTTTTCAGAGCCTTTCTAAAGTAACGACTTTACAAGACTTCAATAAAATCAGGTTGGTCCATGCCTAGGGTATTAGGTTTCTGTGGCAAGGTTCTGGTAGTGGGAGGCTACAGGAGTGGTTTCTTTGGCAAGTTGTTAGAAACTTCCCCCATCTCCAACAGAGCCTGAAGCAACTGGCTCCAAGATGGATCTGCCACTGGCCAAGGCCAAGCCCATCAGTGATGGTGGGAGCACCTCTGGGATAGCAGGGCTAAGAAGAAAAAACAAAAGTTATTGCACAGAAGTAACTGTGAATCAAGAATGAAGTTAAGTCCAGGTAGCAGGGAGGGGTGGGGGAAGGTGTTTTTAGGATTTGTTTTTTTATTATCCTGCTCTGATTTTGACTGGTAATAAATTAAGTTAATTTCTCTGAATCAAGGCTGTTCTGCCCATGATGGTAATGTGAGTGATCTGTCCCTATGCTTAACTCATGAGCCTTTTGTTACATTTTCTCTTCACTGTCCAGTAGAGGAAGGGGATGATAGAGTGGCTTTGGTGGGCACTGGGCATCCAGCCAAGGTCAAACCACCACACCTGGGATAAGGACTAATTGTACAGAGTAATTTTGTCAGACAAGTAGGTGGAGGGATGCAAAGGATGGGAGGGTATAGGGTGGTGGGAGTAGATAACTGTCTCTGCCAGCTCTCACAGGAGTGTGTGGCAAGAGAGCATTTACCTGTGAGTCAGAACAAAGATGCTGCCTGCCAGTAAGCACAGCTGGCATCCCACTGAATTTGTTCTCCAGTCCACCTCCTATTGCTGCCATTTCCTCACTCTGGGAGTCTAATAATTATGAAGAAATAATGACAGGTTTGATTTAATATCAAACTTGAAATGCTGTTTGTTTAATATCAAATTTGGAACAGCTGAAGCCAACAGAAATGCTTAGTGAAATGCTTTATTTGTTTTGATCTTTTCTTTTCTTTTCCTTTCTTTTCCTTTCTTTTCTTTTTTCTTCTTCCCTCCATTTCTTCCTCTCCTCCTTCCTTTCTTCCCTTCTTCTTTCCCTCCTTCCTTCCTCTTTCTTCAAGGTCAAGGCCTCCAAAGTGAAATTATCAGGGATTAAGTGTGAGACTGCATGCTGTAAGGAAGGCTGGCCCTGTGATCAGTGTGATTATCAGGAAGTTTTGAGAAACACCAGTTCAATTATCTGCTGTGCCAGAGGCACTTCTCTCTGAGTTTGAAAAAAGAAACCCACTTAGGGGAGTGAGATGGATTGGATGACCTCCAGATGTGTTTTCTCACAGCCCTTTTTTTACCATGATTTCATGTCTGTATCACCCAAGGGGACTCAGCTGTGAGTTCTGAGCCTGCAGATGAGTCACAGCAGTGTGTGCAGGAATTGGGTTGGATCTCATGAACCAAATTGTCCAGTCATTGAGTCTGAAAATTAAATTCTGCCTCTGGGCTGGCAAATTTGCCTGCACCCAGGCCTGGGTGATACAGCTGGAGTACTGACTGATATAACTCTCTCTTGGTTGAGCCAGCCTAGGGTATCTGCAAATGGTTCTCCCTAAAGTAGTGTAGGTATTTTTTTTCTCTTTGAGAAGTAAAAAAAAGGAAATAATAGATTTAGCTTGCCTACAATTCTTACCTGGAGAACTGTAATCTTTTACACTCCAGGGAAAGAACCAAATAGTTCTAGCTGACTTTGTTCATTCAAGGATCCCTGGAAGAGAAATCTTTGGGATACTAAGTTTTTGATGGGAAGAATCATTATTTTTTTCCCTACAGCATCACCTGTATTCACTGGAGCATGTGTTGCAGAGGAGTTGTTTCTTCCTTAAGGGCTTCCAGCTGCAAGGCAAGGCTCTGTTCTGTAACTGCTCCCTGCTGGGTGGGTGCAATTTTAGTAACAAAGCTGCCTATCCTGTTCCAAATTAGAAATGCAGAATTTAGCTCCAAGGGAATGCATCAGAGAGATGACATCAAGTGTGTTCATGGGCCTGGATGTAGACTGTGTGAGAGAGGAAAGCTCTGTCCCAGACAGTCTGTGGCTAAGCCCTGCAGATCTTCAGAGAACAGGATTGCCAAACAGTTGCCTGTAATTAGTATTTTGACACATTACTTTTTGCTGGAATTCAGAAAGATTGATTGGTCTGTGTTATTGGGGAAAGTTTCTGAACTGATCACTGGACTTGACAGGTAATCCTTACTTTAACAAACTTAGGCACGTCAGGTTCTTTTCATCTTCCAGTTTCCTACGTTTCTTTCTGTTGGTGAAACCCATTAACTGTGTGATAGAGAGCAGGCTAGAAGCACTGGCGGTACACTCTGGGCATGATTAGCACTGCTGGCCTGGCTCTGCGTGGCTGTGCACCCTGTTCATTGCCAGTCTGTTGCCTCTTGCAGTGGCCCAACAAAGTGCATGTAATGTAGAATCAACACCTTTCCTATTTGGCCCCATCTCTACTCACTAAGGACTTGTCATCTTGACAGGCTTTTATTGTTAGGGTTTTTTAAGAAATGGAGCCAAACCATGTTATTAATGTTCGGGTTTGTGCTTTTCCATGTCAGTTTTCAATCACGTTTCAGATGACAGTATTCCTTCCTCCCTGGCCTCTCAGCTGAAACAGCTGAACTGCCTTTTCAGTTTGGATTGCTGATACTTGAGACTCTTCAGATGGGACTGCAAATTGGAGGGTAAGACCACTGCTGACAGATGTGATCCGTAAGGCTCGTGCCAACAGATACTCTGTGTGCTCTGTAAGTCTGTGGACAGTTGCCTGCATTACAGCTGGAAAGTGAGCAGCCTCACACTGCTGTAAAACTGTATTAAAACTGGAAAGTGAGCAGCCTCACACTTGTAAAGAGGACATTGCACATTAACAGCTCATCTAAGGTAATTTTCTTTGCCCTCTGCTGCAAGACAATCCCTATAAAATTTGATAGGCAGCTCAGCCTGTTCATGAGATTATGAATGTGTTCAAACTGCAAAGCATCATTGGGACAAAAAGAAGCTTTTTGAGTGTTTTCCAGCTGAGTGTATTTGGCCTAAGCATCATACCAAGCTTTTACCATTGTCTTTATTCAAGGTCTCATTCAGATTTAACAACCATTCATTGATGCTCACAAAACTCCTGGGAAAAAATTCTGTATAAAAATCAATGGAACTGCATCTGGTTTTATTAAGCAAATTAAAGCATGCAACAAAACATTTTCCTTGAGGTATTTGCAACCCCAGTGGCATAACAGAGTCAGTTCTGACGAGACGGGAGGAGCAAGCCAGCACAGACAAAAGCAAGACATTTAAAAGCTCTTATAAAAGCAAAAAAGTAAACAAGCCTTTCCTCCCCACTTTCCTTTTGAATGTCAGTGTCCCTTAGCATGACGTGGTCATGCTGAAGCTGAACAAGGAGGCAGAGGCCAGCACCAGCATGGGCTCCCAGCTCTCCCTTTTGGCTGCTAGAGGTGACCACCAATCTGTGCAAGCAACTGTGCAAGGGGAAGGCAGCAAGGGAAAGCTCAAACATGCTGGAGCTTGCTGGTGAACTGGTTGACAGCAGCTGACAGAAATGCGTCCTGTGAGACAAGGTATGTAAACCAGCAAGCCTCAAATGTGCCTGGTTCAGTTGCATGGCTTCTCTCTTCCAGCAGAGGAGTTACCTGCCACAGCAAGTAGTTGATGACATCTGTCACTGGGAACCACTGCTGGCAGGAGAGCAGTTTCTGCACATCTGTGGGGCCTCAGGCCACCTTGGTGACTTGTGGCAGTTTAGCCTTTAAGAGTGAAACATCAAGGGCCAGCTCTGGAGCTGCAGTGATGCCAAGTATCAACAAGCCAGCTATAGGCTCATTTCATCAGTTTCATGTTCTGTACTCATTACAAAGTCTC